ATATGAAGAGACACAGTATGGTAGCCACACCCCCAGGTAGGTGAGAGTGAATAAAACAGTTGACATAGATGAAAGGTTGGAAGATTACAAAAAAAAAAAGAAAAAGCAAGTCCCTATAATGTGATTTGGGAAGCTGTGTTCCAAAGCAAATAGATTCTGGGAAGCCTGAGGTGTGTGTTTTGGGTTTTTTTGTCGTTGTTGCTCTCACATAGGGGCATCTTCTGTCTTAGGCTTTTAAATTCTCTAAGGAGTCTACTTTCCCTTCATTGATTTTCCTTCAAGTTTACAGTGACAGCCAGAGTCCTCTATGGCATATAAGAGACTACACAATCTGACTGCTTTTCCATTGTTTTGGGGGACACACAAATATCTGCATGATTTTGAGAAACTTTATGTTAAACTATTTTTTTAGTTCTCTCTTGCATCATGTCTAAAATGTGTGAGAATAGTCGTCACTGTTCTATTGGTTTTTATGTTAATTTTCTGCACATTCCATCCTTTTTTATTAGGATATTCTTGAAATATAGTCTGAAATTATAAATATGATGTCCCTCTGCTTTGTTCTTTTTCCTCAAGATTGCTTTGGCTATTCAAAGTTTATTGTAGTTTTTTTGTTTTGTTTTGTTTTTTGTTTTGAGACAGAGTTTCACTCTTGTTGCCCAGACTGGAGTGCAATGGCGCAATCTTGGCTCACCATAACCTCTGCCTCCAGCTATTCTCCTGCCTCGGCCTCCCAAGTAGCTGAGACTACAGGCATGTGCTACCATGCCTGGCTAATTTTGTATTTTTAGTAGAGCCACCTCAGCCTCCCAAAGTGTTGGGATTACAGGTGTGAGCCAGTCCACCCAGACTTTTTTTCTATTTTGTACTTTCATTCCATTTTGATCATAGAATGTAATTCATAAAATGTCAAATTTAACAAATTTTTAAGACGCCGTTTTTGGCCTAACAGGTGGTCTGTCAAAGAGAATATTGCATAAGCTATTGAGAAAGATGTGTTTCCTCATATTCTTGAGGACTCTTCTCTATTTCTCTGTTAAAAATAATTGTACTGGCTGGGCACGGTGGCTCACGCCTGTAATCCCAACACTTTGAGAGGCCAAGACGAGTGGATCATCTGAGTTCGGGAGTTCGAGACCAGCTTGACCAACGTGGAGAAACCCCGTCTCTATTAGAAATACAAAATTAGCCAGGCATGGTGGTGCATGCCTGTAGTCCCAGCTACTCAGGAGGCTGAGGCAGGAGAATTGCTTGAACCCAGGAGGCGGAGGTTGTGGTGAGCTGAGATTGTGCCATTGCACTCCAGCCTGGGCAACAAGAGCAAAACTCCACCTCAAAAAAAAAAAAAATTGTATTATACTTCCTTCAATTCCTCTCTTCACTTACTAATATTCTGTCTTGTTTTATTTTTATTGCAGAAAGTGGGGCATTGAAATTTCCTACTATAATTATATTACTGTCTAGGTGTTTCTTCCAGTCTGTCAATATTTGCTTTATATATTTGGGACCTTAGTGTGACATACACACAGACACACACACACACACACGCACACACAAATTTGTCATAGGTTCCCAGTTAATAAATCTATTATTGTTTAATGTCCTTCTTTGTCTCTTTGCAATTTTGACTTAAAATACTTTATGTAAGATATGACAGTTTTTGACTTAAGATGTAGATTTTGTAATACTATTTTGACTTCTGCTCTCAATTGGTTAGTATTTGCATACAATGTCTGAATCTATTTTGCCACCTTCAGTATTTTTTATCATTAGATGTCAGCTGACCCTTGTAGAAAGGCAAATTGGATCTTGGTTTTTAATAATTTTAAATAAATTTCTTTATTGAAAGTATGTCTCTTAATTGGAAAATTTTCTGAAGCAAAGAGACTTACTAATTTTTTTGTTGTTGTTCTGTTTGATTCTTGCATCTTTGTCCTACATTTTCTCACTTTCTGTTTCTCTTTGTGGCTGTTTTATTTTTACTTTGATATGCTTTTACTTCTTTCTTATTTTGTTTTCTGTATCTATACAGACGTATTCTTTGTGGTTCATGGGGGATTACATAAAACCTCTAAAAGATACAACATATTTCACTCTGGTTAAAAATGAACTTTAGTTGCATGCAAAAATTTTTTCTCAAGCCTGTAATCCCAGCACTTTGGGAGGCCTAGATGGGCAGATCATGAGGTCAGGAGATCGAGACCATCCTGGCTAACCCCGTGAAACCCCGTCTCTACTAAAAAATACAAAAAAACTAGCCAGGCGAGGTGGCGGGTGCCTGTAGTCCCAGCTACTCGGGAGGCTGAGGCAGGAGAATGGCGCAAACTCGGGAGGCGGAGCTTTCAGTGAGCTGAGATCCAGCCACTGCACTCCAGCCTGGGTGACAGAGCGAGACTCCGTCTCAAAAAGTAAAAAATAAAAAAAATAAAAAATTTTTTCTCATTACATATGTTCTCAGATTTGTCATTGATATTGCTAATTACATTTTTTATTTTGTATATTTATTAACAGATATTTATAATGATTTCTATGCTTTTATCTTTCAAATTTTGAAGATTAATTGAAAATTTCTTCTGTGCCATTGTGATAATGCTAAGAAATTTATTTTTGTGTATGTGCATGACTTTCCCAAAAAATAATGTGTTTTAATATGATTTCGTGTTGCCTTGTTGAATCATCTTATTTTCATTGGAAGCAACTGCTTTCAGCACCTTTTATATGTAAGGAAGTGCCCATATACTTTTTAAAGTTTGGTTATTTTTGTAGTGTTTTTTTCTTTTTATTTAGCAGGACAGATTTGGTGATGGTATTATACTCGCTTGATAACTATTTTCTTCAGAAATTTGACTATACCACACAGTTTCCTTCTGTCCTGAAAAATTTTTGTTGAGAATCCACTGGCTATCTCATAAGAGTATTCTTGCAAATAATATCAATTTTTTCGGCTATTTTTTTTTTTTTTTTTTGAGATGAAGTATCACTCTTGTTCCCCAGGCTGGAGTGAAACAATGTGATTTCACCTCACTGCGTCCTGGGTTCAAGCAGTTCTCCTACCTCAGCCTCCCGAGAAGCTGGGATTATAGGCGTATGCCACCACACCCGGCTAAGTTTGTATTTTAAGTAGAGACGGGATTTCTCCATGTTGGTCTGGCTGGTCTTGAACTCCTGACCTCAGGTGATTCACCCACCTCAGCTTCCCAAAGTGCTGGGATTACAGGTGTGACCTACCACGCCCAGCCAACACATCACTTTCATCTTGCAGCTCCTAAGATTCTCTTTTCTGTGACTTTTAAAATTGTGCTTACGTATGTGTTTGATATAAGTATCTTTGTATCCTAGTTTGTCGAGTTTCTTCATTGTTATGTCATTTTTAAAAGATTTTTCAGTTATTTTTTATATTTTTTACCTCCATTATTTGTTTTTTTTTGATATTTTAAATATTTCTGTTCTTATTTCCAGTTTTCTGATTTTCTGTAGTTCTCTGTGTTCATATTTTACTCATTGAGTATTCAATTTATTTTTAATTTTAAAAATGAAGGTACACATCATTTTTCTTTCTGAAAATTTTATATTTTTGTTGGAACCACATTGCTCTGTTTTATATATATTCTAATCTTTTATTAAAATTTACATGTTTACTCACAAAAAAGGTTACCTGTCCCTGTCTTTATAATGTGGCTTTCTCTTGGCACACTTTGAACAATTGTCTGGGTTAGAGATTCTGAGAGTCTATCAAACATATTCTTAGAATGTGTCTTGTTTGAAATTTTGTGTTTATTTTTTAAAGGAAATTATTTATCTTCTTTGTTAATACTCAGTAATCACTTGCTGCACCTGTGTTCTGTCTGTGGTACTGCAGTCTGTTCACTGCTGTAACATTTACCTTTGATCTCAGCAGACTCAAACTGTCATTCCAAAGTATACCACCATTTCTTTCAGCACTGTATGTCATGGGTGACAGAAACCAGTGTCTTCAAAGGCTCCTACAAGCAAGTAATAAAGATATATGAGCCGGTATTTTACCTGTGTTTTTATTTTATTTTATTTTATTATTTTTGAGGCCACATTTTTTTAAATTGACAACTCAGTCTCTACATACATGCAGTATTGCATGAATTATAAAATAGATCAACAATTATATTATTGATACAAACTCATGATCATTTACATAAAACTACCGCTCTAGGTTTTGGTGTGTTTTGTGCCAGCTACTTTAGTGAATAAAAGGAACTAAACTACTTGAATTCATGAGAATCAGCTTTCAAAAAAAGCATATATGTCATCTCATAGAATATTTAATACGTCAAACCCAGGAAAATCAGTAACTAAGTGACAGAAGGAATACTTTTAAAGAAAAGTTGATGATAAAAATGTTAGGCTAAAATATTAACAATTTTAGCAACTGGACCAAGGAACCATAAAGTATATGCACACTAGGAATTTTAAGAAAAGATCCCGACGTTCTCCTGCACAATTAGGACCACATTCCAGAAACATAATTCTGGGTTGTTACAGTGTCTTCTCTGCTACAAACCATAGTTTCAAAGATGAAAGAAACAAGATAGTAATTCACATAAAAGGGTTTTAAAATTCTCCCCACTCAAAACAAAAATAATATGATCTCTATCAAATTATAAAGAAATTATATCAAAATGGTGACCAAATAAAGAACACAGACCATTTGCCTTCACTGACTGCCTCAGAGGGCAGAGCATGTGTCACCTACAAGGAAGGGGAGATGGGGGTAGAGTCCCTACTCTCCCCGGGCCTGTGGAGTGGGGCTGGATAGGAGCCCTTTGGTTTCCCTGGGGTTTTGCTTCCTCACATAGGGAATTGAGGGAGGCGGGGTAGATGACTTTAAGAGACCCCTCAACTAAAAGAATCAAAGTCACCTTGAGATCCCATCTCTGAGCAGGCACATAAGGTGGCAATAGAAATGGATTGAAAAACAGACGGATGATGTCTTTCTCACCTTTTAATACCATCACTGAGAACTAATCTGTACTATAGTTGAAGAAAATCTTTGCCTGGTACTATTAAAGGGTATGCAGTGAGGCATCTGACAATGAAATTTTTCATAAAAATATATAAAAAGGCTTTATTAAGTTTGGGTGGAAAGACAATGCACCATCATGTTACTACCAGCAATCAGGACGTCCTGTCTCAGATTTTAGGAGTCACTGATCTGGTTGGGAGAAATGCTGAGGGGGATGCATATTCAAGCCATTCAGTAGAGAGTTAAGGAGTGCACACTGTTCAGGAAATGGATAAACAGGTGCCCAGGAAGGCAACTTTAATGAAACTGGTTCTAAAACAAAGGATGCAAGAGACCTAAATGATCCAAAGAGAGTGATGGCTTCTCATTTTTTGTCCCCTAATGAGAATACAAACATTTCTTCTGGGATCTAACACACTAGCTTCATTTTCAAGATACATCACTTTATTTTCCTTACAAGGTAGCAGCACATTAAGCACATGATAGTCACATGATTTCTGCAGTGAGCCCCAAGGCTTCCCCGAGCTTTCCTGGAACCTACGGCCAGAAGAGTCTTGAGATTTCAAATATTAAAGTTTTCTATACAGCCACAAGTCCCTTTGATGTTTGGGTTATTGAACACAAACTCACTGGATAATTTGTCTTCAACATAGTCCATTTCTGTTCCTAAAAGTGTTAGCTTTGCTTTCTTTTTGATGAATACTCTGACTCCATCTTGAATAACTTCATCAGAATCTCCTTTTATCTTTGTATATTCTAGAGTATAAGAAAGGCCATTAGAGCCCCTGGTTCGGACACCGACTTTTACACCTAGATGCTCAGGCTTATCTTTTTTTTTTTTTTGAGACAGAATCTCGCTCTGTCTCCCAGGCTGCAGTGCTGTGTCACCATCTCAGCTCACTGCAAGCTCTGCCTCCCGAGTTCATGCCATTCTCCTGCCTCAGCCTCCTGAGTAGCTGGGACTACAGGCCCTGCCAACACGCCCAGCTAATTTTTTGTATTTTTGGTAGAGTCAGGGTTTCACTGTTAGCCAGGATGGTCTTGATCCCCTGACCTCGTGATCCGCCTGCCTCGGCCTTCCAAAGTGCTGGGATTACAGGCCTGAGCCACCGCGCCCAGCCAGGCTTATCTTTAAGAAGTTGTTTTATCTTGTTTACTGCTGGAGGTGTCAGGGTGAGGGTGGCCCAGGTGGGCTGCAGTTTCCTCTTGCTCACAGCCTGGACAGTTGTCTGGATTAAGGAAGCTGACATCTTCGCCATCCTGGCACCCTAGTGCCTTGGGCTGGAGCTCGGCTCCCTTGGCCTGTCTCCATGGACACAGCGGGTGCATTCTACCTGTGTTTTGTTTTTTTTTTTAAATATATCAAATGTTGGCAATTTACTTATTTTTTTTTCTTTCTTTTTTTTGAGATATAGTCTCACTCTGTTGTCCAGGCTTGAGTGCAATGGTGTGATTTCGACTCACTGCTACCTCTATATCCTGGGTTCAAGCAATTCTTCTGCCTCAGCCTCCTCAGAAGCTGGGATTACAGGTTGAGCCACTATGCCTGGCTGGCAATTTACTTCTTTTTGTTTTGTTTGTTTTTTTGAGATGGAATCTCGCACTGTCACCCAGGCTGGAGTGCAATGGCGCAATTTCGACTGACTGCAACATCTGTCTCCTGGGTTCAAACAATTCTCCTGCCTCAGCCTTCTGAGTATCTGGGACTATGGGCACATACCACCATGCCCAGCTAATTTCCGTATCTGTAGTAGAGACAGGGTTTCACAATGTTGGCCAGGATGGTCTCAATCTCCGGACCTCATGATCCACATGCTTCAACCTCCCAAACTGCTGGGATTACAGGTGTGAGCCACCACACCTAGGGCAATTTACTTCTAAAAGCATTGTTATCTTGAGGAGCAGAAACAGCTATGTTGGGTAAATGTAACAAACTTTTTTTTTTATTGTTGTATGTAACTTTTTGCATTGTGCTCACTTGGGGTACTTTAAACATTTAGCTTATTTATAATTTTTCTCAGATGTATTTTGGTCAGTATGTTTTTGTTACATATGTATGTCTATAAAAATTAGGGCCTTTCGTATTTTGCTATATCATCTTGTATATGTAGTTTGTATAATGTTGTAGGTTAGATTTGTAATCTATATGTATCTGAGTCTAGTAAGTGGAGTAATTTGATATTTTTATTTCTTTCAGTTAATTGTTCTCATTTTGCCCAGGACCTCTGGCCACAACCAGGCATAAAAGATTCTTTCCAAAAAGCGATACTGAGAGAATATGGAAAATACGGACATAAGGATTTACAGTTAAGAAAAGGCTATAAAAGTATGAATGAGTGTAATGTGCACAAAGAAGGTTATAATGAACTAAACCAGTGTTTGACAACTACCCAGAGCAAAATATTTCAATGTGATAAATATGGGAAAGTCTTTCATAAATTTTTAAATGCAAATAGACATAAGACAAGACATACTGGAAAGAAACCTTTCAAATGTAAAAAATGTGGCAAATCATTTTGCATGCTTTTACACCTAAGTCAACATAAAAGAATTCATGTTAGAGAGAATTCTTATCAATGTGAAGAATGTGGCAAAGTTTTTAAATGTTTCTCGGCCCTTACTAGACACAGGAGAGTTCATACTGGAGACAAATCCTACAAACATGAAGAATGTGGAAAAGTTTTTAACCAGTCCTCAACTCTTACTAGACATAAGGTAATTCATACTGGAGAGAAACACTGCAAATGTGAAAAATGTGGCAAAGATTTTAAACAGTCCTCACACCTTACTAAACATAAGATAATTCATGCTAGAGAGAAACCCTACAAATGTGAAGGATGTGACAAAGCTTTCTGCGAATTCTCATACCTTACTAAACATAAGATGATTCATACTGGAGAGAAACCTTACAAATGTGAGGAATGTGGCAAAGCTTTTAATTGGTACTCACACCTTACCAGACATAAGATAATTCATACTGGAGAGAAACCCTACAAATGTGAAGAATGTGGCAAAGCCTTCAATGTATTTGCAACGCTTACTAGACATAAGATAATTCATACTGAAGAGAAACCCTACAAATGTGAGGAATGTGGCAAAGCTTTTAAACAGTCCTCAAACCTTACTACTCATATGAAAATTCATTCTGGAGAGAAACCCTACAAATGTGAAGAATGTGGCAAAGCTTTCTTCCGATTCTCATACCTTACTACACATAAGATAATTCATACTGGAGAGAAACCCTACAAATGTGAGGAATGTGGCAAAGCTTTTAACTGTTACTCCTACCTTACTGCACATAAGATGATTCATACTGGGGAGAAACCCTACAAATGTGAAGAATGTGGCAAAGCTTTCTACCGATTCATATACCTTACTACACATAAGAGAATTCACACTGGAGAGAAACCCTACAAATGTGAAGAATGTGGCAAAGCTTTCTACCGATTATCTTACCTTACTACACATAAGATGATTCATACTGTAGAGAAACGCTACAAATGTGAGGAATGTGGCAAAGCTTTTAACTGGTACTCACGCCTTACTATACATAAGAGAATTCATACTGGTGAGAAACCCTACAAATGTGAAGAATGTGGCAAAGCCTTCAGTGTATTCTCAACTCTTACTAAACATAAGATAATTCATACTGGAGAGAGACCCTACAAGTGTGAAGAATGTGGCAAAGCCTTTAATGTATTCTCAACCCTTACTAAACATAAGAGAATTCATAATGGAGAAAAACGCTACAAATGTTTAGAATGTGGCAAAGCTTTCTACCAATTCTCATACCTTGCTACACATAAGATGATTCATACTGGAGAGAGACCCTACAAACATGAAGAATGTGGCAAAGCTTTTAACTGTTCCTCACAAGTTACTAGACATAAGATAATTCATACTGGAGAGAAACCCTACAAATGTGAAGAATGTGGCAAAGCTTTTAAAAAGTCCTCAAACCTTACTAATCATAAGATAATTCATACTGGAGAAAAACCCTACAAATGTGAAGAATGTGGAAAAGCTTTTAACCAGTCCTCAACTCTTACTAGACATAAGAGAGTTCATACTGGAGAGAAACCGTACAAATGTGAAGAATGTGGCAAAGCTTATAACTGGTCCTCAAACCTTACTAAACATAAGAGAATTCATACTGGGGAGACACCCTACAAATGTGAAGAATGTGGCAAAGCTTTTAACCAATCTTCAACCCTTACTATACATAAGATAACTCATATTGGAGAATAACATTACAAATGTGAAAAATGTGGCAAACTTTATCACTGGTACTCATACTTTACTACACATAGGAGAATTCATACGGAAGAGAAATTCTACAAATGTGAAGAATGTGGCAAAGGCTTTAACTGGTCCTCTACCCTTACTTGTGGGCAGCAACCCACCCAGGTGCTCAGGCAAGAGACTGAGGGCACGAATTGTTCCAGTATAATAAAATATATAAAATAAGAATAGTTATGCTAGATGTAGATAATAGGTATGATTATATGTGAATATCATTAATCATTAGTTTGTAGCAATTACTCTTTATTCCAATATTATAATAATCCTTGCTCTATAATCATAAACCTAGGAAAAACCAGGCCATACGGATATAGGAGTTGAGGGAACATAGCGAGAAGTTACCAGGAGACAAGTGTGAGTCCTCTGTCATGCCCAGAGAGGGCCACTAGAGGGCTCCTTGGTCTAGCAGTAACACCAGTGTCTGGGAAGATGCCCTTCACCAAGCGGACCATGGTCTAGCGGTAGTGTCAGTGCCAAGGAAAAGCACCTGCTACTTAGCAGACTGTGAAAGGGAGTCCCCCTTTCCCAGGGGAGTTTAGAGAAGACTATTCCACTGGGCCTGCCCACAGTTATCCAGAGGCCTAACCGTCTCCCTGTGATGCTGTGCTTCAGTGGTCACTCTCCTAGTCTGCTTTCATGTTCCATCATGTACACCTGGCTCTGCCTTCTAGATGGCACTAGCAAAATTAGTGAAAGTACTAAAAACCTCTGCCAGAAAGAAATAACGGCATGGGCTGTGTCCTTTCTCTCTCTCTCTCTCTGTCTCTCTCTCTCTGTCTCTCTGCCTCGGCTGCCAAACAGGGAAGGGCCCCCTGTCTAGTGGACACATGACTCATGTGACCTTGTCAATCATTGGAGATGACTAGCACTCCTTACCCTGCCCCTTTCGCTTTGTATCCAATAAATAACAGTGCAGCCAGGCATTCGGGGCCACTACAGGACTCTGTGTCTTGGTGGTAATGGTGTCCTAGGCCCAGCTGTCTTTTTTTTTTTTTTTTTAGATCTCTTTGTCTTGTGTATTTATTTCTACAATTGCCCATCTCTGCACACAGGGAGAAAAACCCAACAACCCTGTGGGACTAGACCCTACACTTACTAAAGATAAAAAAGAGTTTGGGTGTGGTGGCTCACGCTTGTAATCCCAGCATTTTGGGAGGCTGAGGCGGGCAGATCACCTGGTCAGAAGTTTGAGACCAGCCTGGCCAATATGGCGAAACCCCGTCTCTACTAAAAATATAAAAACTTAGCCAGGTGTAGTGGTGCACACCTGTAGTCCCAGCTGCTCTGGAGGCCAAAGTGGGAGAATTGCTTGAACCCGGGAGGTGGAGGTTGCAGTGAGCTGAGATTGCTCCGCTGCACTCCAGCCTGGAGGACAGAGAGAGACTCTATCTGAAAAAAAAAAAAAAAAAAAAAAAAAGTTCATGCTAGAGAGAAACCATGCAAATGTGAAGAATGCGAGAAAGCTCTTAACCAGTCCTCGCACCTTACTACACATAAGAGATCATACTGGAAGGAAACCCTACAAATGTGAAGAATGTCACAAAGCTTTTAACTGGTACTCACGCCTTACTACACATAAGATAATTCATACTGGAGAGAAAGCCTACAAATGTGAAGAATGTGGAAAAGGTTTTTATTGATTCTTATACTTTACTAAACATGCTTTGCTAAACTAAACTAACTACTTTACTAAAATGTGAAGAATGTGGCAAAGGCTTTACTTGGTCCTCAACACTTACTAAAGAGAATTCATACCAGAGAAATCCTACAAATGTGAAGAATGTGACAAAGCTTTTAACCACTTCTCAACTCTGATGACACAAGGTAATTCATACTGGAGAGAAACCCTGCACATATGAAGAATGTCTCAAAACTTTTTATAGATTCTTGTACCTTATGAAACATAAAATCCTACAGGAGAGAAATTATACAAATGTGAATAATGTGGCAAAGCTTTTAAGAAATCCTCATCCATTACTAAACAAGACAATTCATACTGGAGAGAAAACCTAAAAATACGAGGAATGTGGCAAAGTCTTTAATGGTCTCCTCAACTTTCTGCACATAAGAT